ACACGGACCTCAAAACATCAGAGGTGGGATCAGGTGCCATGGAGGAGTTAGCATACCTTGCTGTCCGGTCACACCCGCCGTGTGCTCCTTGTCATAATCGGTAAATAACGGAAAAATCCGTCGTCAATTCAGTGTATAAAAAATGGAATAACAATTGGTAGTCAGTCAGAATTTGACTCAATGATAAATTGTATTTACTGACAAGGTCATTGTATCGAACATAAAACTTTCGAAATGATCAATGACTAGTACTTTAAACGAGACTTCTGATATTTTTGTCTCATCAACTTATTTGTCAATAATTTACCTCGTTCAAGAAATTCTTCATAGGTAGAGCATGCTCTTGTGTATCAAATGAATTGAGATATATAAACTCCATATTCAGATGATGAAGGTGTATTGCTGCGTAAGTAAGGGAAGTTGACGATAGAAAAGTTAAAGTCATCACGTTTATCATAGAGCTTGGTTGTTAGATTACCATTAACGTCTTTTTCAAGTAAAATATCCAAATATGAAATAGATATGTCAGACTCCATGGTATCTCTTATCTCTAGCTTACCAGAATATATCGTGTCATTTTCGGAACAAAACCTTTGAATTATTAAAAAAAAACCCAATATACTAGTAATGATAAATTTATGCTCCTGAATGAATTAATATTCATTGGGATTCTGCAAGCCAAAAAAAATCCATACCAGATACATTGTTTACAATGCTTCTATTAAGATTTGCAATCAAATATATTTTATGTTGGGAAGGACATTCCCCCTCCTTACATTTGAAAGTATAGAAAATATCAGGAGACACAGATATAAGGTTTTATTGTATAAAAAAGTAGGTGGTAAAATTTCTATGAGGGTCATTTTTCAACGTGTGTGGAGTCGTAGAATTACTGGTCTGGAATGTTTTTCTACGGTCGAAAAATGACCCTACATGTCGTAGAATATTGACCGGGGGTCATTTTTCTACGTAGAAAAATGACCCCCTGGTCAATATTCTACGGGGGTCACTTTTCGTCGTTACACCGGCGGCAACAAAGATAAAAAACATATTTTTAGCATATAGGTCACAGTCAATGTCACAAGGTCATTGAACTTGATGTCGTTTGAAGGAACTTAATTAGAGGAGTATGCATACCGAATATGAAGTCTCTATCTTTCATTGTTCAAAAGTTATGGTGAATGTTCAAAAAAGCTATTTTTAGCATATAGGACACAGTCAAGGTCACAAGGTCATCAACCTTTGTGTCATTTAAAAGAGCTTAATTAGTGGAGTATGCATACCAAATATGAAGTATCAACCGTTCATGGTTCAAAAGTTATAGCGATGGTTAAAGTTTGCAGACAAGCAGACAGACAGACGGGACAAAAACAATATACGCCTCAGACTTTCGATCCGGGCGCATAAAAATGAGGTAAAAATTGATGTTTCTGTACAATAATGTGTTAATTTGCTTTAGAAGGTGCTAGATAGCTAATGATACGTTGATTTCTATCTTGTTATATTTTACTTTTCAAAAACGTCTTTGACGTATTTTTCATAGTAACAAGAACTTATATCACTGAAAATGCGTTAGTATTCATCATGTTACAAAAAGGTGTTGAAAATAAGGAAGTTAATAAACAATCAATGAATGTATTGAAATTTTCAGGATAGCCTCATATAAGGCGTGTAAAACGTTGCTTTATTCGGTAACCGTGTGATGTATATTCAAAATTTTGTGATGTATATTCTAAATCTTGTGATGTTTATTCAAAATTTTGTGATGTATGTTCTAAATCTTGTGATGTATATTCAAAATCTTGTGATGCATATGGGAAATCTTGTGATGTGTTTATTATGCAAAATTTTGTGATGTATTTGAAAAATCGTGTGATGTATATTCAAAATCTTATGAAGTATGTTCTATAATCTGAGGTAATATGATGTGATGTATGTGCAATGTCTTTGGATGTTAATTAAAAATCTTTGATGTATATTCGATAATCTTGGATGTTCAAAATCGTGTGATGTATATGCAAAATCTTGTGATGTCTGTTCATAAACGTGTGATGTATGTGCAATATCTTGTTATGTATATTGAAGTTAAACAATAAGTTAAAATTATACCTGCTATAGTTATACCTAGGCTATCTTTATTCCATCTATTTATATTTGATACTGATTTGAGATACTTTGGCCCTGTTGCTCTTGATCGGAGAAATTTTGTGACATATTTTTAATGATTAACTTCGCAAAACCTTTGATCACCTATGATTGTTGTTTTTCAATCGGGCTAAAAAATAACATGACAGCATGTTTCACAATGTAACTATCTAATAAACTTTGCATCTCTGAAAGTGTCATTAAATTTTCTTCAGCGTTATCAAAGAATTTGAAGAAAAAAAATGGTTACCCCAACGTTATTTTGAAAAATAAAAGTGGTCATAGTTTGCTAGGGGAAATTTCTGAAATCTTTTAGATCCAAACGTTTTAAAATACAGTAGGACGTACAAACTGAAGCTTTAATTGTTAAAAAGATTCTGTGAGACTTATTAAAATTTATTTAATGGTGTAGGAGCTACATGTAGGAGTTGCATATAAAAATTGAGTATCTCCATGTTGTAAAAAGAATGGCAGTGTCTGTTTTTCTACTTGAAACCCTAAGTATATAACGCAGCATTCGGCCTCGATTCCGATACAGATATCGTCACTTCCGTTTCTCACAGGACAAACTTAGGAAAAACAAACACACACACAAACAAGAGTGTTAATATATCCCCTCCTACTCCGTTGCGAGGGGATAAAAAATGTTAAGTAACTATTTTAAAGACAGACTGGGCATGCCCCACATCGTAAAGGACAAAATAGGCTAAGAAGCCTTTTCTGGCCCCTGGTTTGGGGTGTATTTTAGAATGATATAAATAGGGGATATCTATATTTTGTGATTTGATTTTGGATTTATACAACGAGTTGGAATTGAGTATATTCGTGAAGCTTGTCATTTTAACGAGTGGGATAAAGCCAATATCAAATCACACAATTATAGAGCTAAACATAGAGCACAAGATTGCCAATTTACAAAATATATATACAGCTGTATTATATACACTAGTATCAAATGTATCTTGTGTATTAAACTCTCAGATGGGCAAACTAGTGTTCTACATGTATGCCTTCAGAAATGCAAAGTATCTGAAAGGTGACAAATTTCCACCAGAATTGAGAAAATTAGGATAAAATGTCCTACTTCTGCACTCTCTAAGTTTTGTGTCCCCTGTAAGCTTTGAATAAAAATAAGTGTTGGTTTTAAAACAAGCATCATTTCAAATTCTTCACTACAAACTTTGATGATTTTAACTGTGTTCTGATTTTGCAGGTGTCATAACAGTATTTCACTTGAGGTTCACGTCAAATCATGGCTGACGCAAAATAATCTCTGAATCTCCCCTTCCGATTCGATGTTGAAAAGCAACATGTTAGATTCCTGTATTGACCAAGTTTATTAAAATTTAGGGCGTGTTGATTTTTCTTTATACTGTACTGGGGAGTGATTAGGCCCTGGACTAGATTTTCAAGCACCTGCTCGACTTAGACCGAAAAAGACTTGCGTGCCTTGCTGATTGGCTATATATTTTTGGTACTAAAATTTTATAAAGAATTGTTTTTACAACATCTGAAAAGGAAACTTCTCAGAAGTTTGTTTTCAATAATTACATCTGCTCAAACTTGCGCATTTTTGATAAGAATATATAACAGAATTTAATACTGTTGAGCAACCTAACATCATAGCGGGTGTAAAGGGCCATACCTTGGCCTTTATTAATTTTTAAAAAAACGCTGCATTATAATATGTGCTTTCAAAGATATAGCAATTGAAATGGATGTAATCTTGTCAGACTAGAATGAAATTTGAGATTCATTGAATATATCTCTCTTGAACAGTTTTGACCTACATTGACTTCAAACCGAAATCGTTTGGCTAAGTATATGTATTGTGCAATTTTCAAAGCTTTGCAAAATAGTAAAACGGATTTAAGTCCTTGTGAAGATCTTTAAAATCATTTAAATAATCTAAGTAAGTTGGAAAAGGCCAGTTTTTTTGACAAGAAGGTAAGAAGATTTTATTAAAATGGAATAATGGAAAAAAAACTTTTGCTGAAATATCATTATTTCATTTTCAAAAATTAACGAATTAATTAAAACTTTTTTTTCCTTTGAGGTTTGTGTGATGATGGTGAGATATGCATTTATCTAAGTTACAATGATTTGCTGCGATTTTATCATTATTTTATGAAATAGGATTTTAGGAACAAAATAAAATCTATACTATCTTGATATACAGCTCCGTGCGCTTTTCAAGCTCACATGGTTTCTCGCACAAATAAAGGTCTTATTCTTCTTGTAAAAATTGTAAAAATTAACATAATTGAGCTTAAGCACGACGACATGTCTCTTAGTTGTATTACACATATGTCAAGGGTAAAATTATTATCGGAAGTTTCCAAAGTGGATATACATGTAATAATTACCTTGGTTTTATAAAATGGAGAGAAAAGTCTATCCAATGCACACATGATGATTTTATGATCATTAGTTCACAACAGTGTTGGGTTAAGCTGTTTAGATCTTTGTTAAGATAATCTTGAAATCATTTAAATATGCTTCAGAAGGAAGAAAATATTAAAATAACAAAAAGGTACTAAGAAAATTGGAAAATAAAAATAAAAGATTGAATTGTGAAAAAATGCCCCTATGCTAGAAAAACATAATTTTTATCACTTTCTATGACAAAAGAATATCCATCCGCGCTTTGTATAGGTAAATGGCTTCAAGTAACATAAGTTATTGTTATGTGTGAATTTAAGACACTTATTCCTGTATAAATTTTAATGTTTTTGATCCCTAATCAGACATAGATTATAGATTAAATATCATTTTTGCACTGTGACTAAATTCATGGTCTGCACTATTTTCTGTGATGTCTATTGATACACTATTTCAAATTTTCAGAAAACACGATGTATGTCAGTGTCAAAGTTTTCATTGCCGTGATGGCATTATGGACCCCCGTTTCAACATCAAAAGCTACACTTCGTAGGCAACTTCTTCAGAATTATACAAAGGAGCTTCCACCAAATGATACGAAAACTGTTGTAAACTTGCATTTCAGTGCTTTTAACATAATAGATTTTGATGACAAGGACGGTAAATTTTCCGTAAGTGGATATCTTGAAGTGTCCTGGGAAGATGCTAGAATTGCAGAGAATTGGGCCTCTTCATTGGTATTGCAAAATGAAAATGTTTCAATGTACTTTAAAGAATCAGAAGTCTGGACTCCAGAAATTCGTCAGATGAATCCATTCAGTAGATTTGATTATGAAAAAATGGTCGAGGAAACAGTAATGTTTCAAAGAAACGGATCGGCATTGATGATAAAAATGGATGTTTTTACCACGGAATGCAAAACAGACTTTTTTTATTTTCCATTTGACTCACAAAAATGCTCAATAGATATTGCGGTTTGGGGATATTTTATGGAAGAAATTGTCTTAAAAGCTCGCAAAAACAATGTCGGCAAGGAACTTTACGAGGAAAACAACGTTTGGAATATGACAGGGACCAACATAAGTATTGACAGTATTCCAGATCTTGGGACTAATGAGGTCTTCAAAGTTTCAAAGGCTACGATCGAATTTAAGATAAAACGTTACTCATCATATTATGTGTATTTTCTGATTGTTCCATTTATTCTGATGCAGTTTCTTCAAGCATTTGTATTTTGGATGCCTTGGGATTGTGGTGAAAGAGTCAGTTTTTCTGTAACAGTTCTTCTTGCTATGGCTGTTTATCTCACGATCGTCACTGAGCACATTCCAAAATCATCGTCATCTCGCCTCTCATTTTTGGGGATCAAGATGGTTATGGATCTTTGCATATCGGCTTATATCCAACTTTTTGTAATTGTCAATAACGTGATCTACAGTAGGAGTCGTCATTCAGAGCAGAATGCTAGTAAAGATTCTGAGAACTCTAAAGTCACTAGTATCAGTCCTAATATAGATTTAAATCGTGAAGAGAACATTGACTGGATAGCTCGCGGAATGAAAATGGATAATTCATGCTTTACTCTTTCACTTATATTCACATCATTTTCTATGTTTTTTCCTATGGTTATATTTATTTTGTCATAATTTGACGAAAAGTAAAAGTTCCTGTAAAATGAACCCCTTTTTCAATATTTAATAAATATTTTGTGATCAGATTGACGTCAGCTGGGTCATTAAAATTAGGTTAGAACATGCTTTGCAAAACAGCTTTTGTGCTTTTGTGTTTTTTATGTAGATACAAAGTAACACTTATGCATTTCTAAAAGATATCTTCGTGAACTATTTTGCACAAGGTCTCAGAGGCAGAGATAGAGAGATATAAATCATTTGTTTTTGTCGGTGTGACTTGCAATATATTGTAAGATCTTCATAAATATTTATAGAAAGAACACAATTTTAGATTTACTCGTGTCACACAATTGATTTGAATAAAACTATAATCGTTCTTGACCAGAAATTAAGCCCTAGAAACTTTGATGTATGATCTCCATAATTATTTTACACTTCTAGAATCTGAAGATGATTTGCCATTACCATACATGAGTATCATTTCAAACAAATCGGGCTGAAATCCTACATGTGCTATTCATTTTATGGTAATCATTGAATATTTCAATTGACACACTTACTCATTCATTTCCAGGCTAGTTGGTGCAATGCATTTCTTGTATTGTTTCAGAAAAATGATTAACAAAGAGCACCAACTATGGGAACTTATTGTTTATACAGCTATATTAAAGAAAGGGAACTTTGGATTCTTTTTCTGAAAAAAAAGATTAAGGACCTAGGATATATTAAAAAGTTATAGAAATTTGTTAAACATTACAGATTTTATTTCAATCAATACGCGAAATAATTACGAAATTCTCATCAAAACCAAAAGCAGCCATCGCCCATGTGGCACAGTTGTTAGAACGTTTACATAAAAATCAAGGAGAAAGGATTGCTTCTTTTGTAGCGAGCTTGAATCACTTCCAATGGAAGTGGAGACTGGACTTTCGAATAAGTCTATATAAATCAATATTTTTGTGGTTCTTTGGCTAATTATCATGATTTTAATTCATCTTGTTTTTTTTTTCTATAAAATCTGAAAAAAACTTTAATAAACGCTCTAAAGACTCTGATCCTAAATGACTAATTATTGTAACAAATCCAATGTGCCAGAAAAGATTATGTACTATAACTTCTAGATGGTCTTCACAAGACCCACACTTCTTGTTTTGATGTCCACTACAGTACATAAATATATATCTTTTTTCAGTTTTCCAGAAAGCACAATGTTTGTCATTGATAAAATTTTGATCATCATGATGACATTATGTCCTTCTACGTCATCATTATATTCCAATCCTTCCACCGACTTTCTCCAAAACTACACAAAGAATTCACCACCAAACAGCACGATGACTGTTGTCAACATATCATTCAATGCCTTTCATTTAACAGAGTTTGATGACATGAACGGTAAATTTTCAGTTAGTTGATACTTAGAAACGTCCTTGATAGATTCAAGAATTGCCACGATCTGGGATTCCTCGTGGGCCCTTGAAACGGTGTATTTCAAGGAATCAGAAGTTTGGACTCCAGAAATTCGTCAGTTGAATCACTAAAGTAGATTTGACCTTGAGAAAATGGTGGATGAAACAGTAATTTTTTACAGAGACGGTTCTGCATTTATGATGAAAATGGATATATTTACTTGTACTGCAAAACAGACTTCTTCGCTTTTCCATTGGACACACAGAATTGTTCGATAGTGGCAATGGAGTTCTTAATTGGAGAAATAGTCTTACAAGCATCTGAAAGTAAAGTCAGCACAAATTTTTACGAGGAAAAAAAGATTGGAAATTAGAAAACACTAAAATCAGTGTTGACAACGTTGATTATTTCGGAAAGAATGAAACTTTCAAGATTTTCAACACTAAGATTGAGTTTCAGATACAACGTCAACCGTCCTATCACGTGTGTTTTCTAATCTTTCTCCTTACTCTGATGCAATTCCTTCAAACACTGGTATTTTGGATGCCTTGGGATTGTGGTGAAAGGTCCAGTTTTTCGGTTACAATTCTTCTTTCGATAGCAATTTACATTACCTTAGTCGCTGAGCACATTCCGAAATCAACAGACACTAATTACACATATATGGGAATGAAGGTGATTTTTGATCTTCTTATGGTAGGCTTTGTCCAGTTTTGTGTAGTCGTTATTCACCGTGTCTACAGTAAAGTTATAAAAGTCTGTGGAGTCTGTTGCGTCTGCAAAGTCCTCAAGGTAGACTATGAAGACACCAATACTACTTCTGACGAGGATCAAGATCATAAACAAAACACTGTCGACGCAGTCAGGATGCATTTGGGAAAGAAAATTGACAAATACTGTTATAGGGTGACACTTACTTTCACTTTATTTTCTTTGATATATTCTTTTGGCGTGTTTATTTCCACAAGAGTATAAAACATGCTTTAAAAGTTCTTGAAAACTCGAAAACCAAAAAGATTGCAGTTTTGGTTTATACGTTGGTACTTTCTAGAGCTGTTTAAAAAGTTCGTGAACAACTGCGATTATATATTTTTTTTTAGAAATGCTTTTACTGCAAACATGTGCCAAATAGCAGTCATATATAAACCATGATTTAGTAAAAGAAAAGAAAACAATATTTTATTAATGTTACTTGTGTAACAACAAACTGCAAGGCTGACAGAAAACCAATTTTATAATAATCAAAATTATTTGATGAATATCAAATAGTACAAATTAATTTAGGTTGGCTTAGGTGTTATTACGAAATATGTTTGGTACAAGTTAACCACCATTCATTTCGGTCTCAAACATCGAACGAGCTATCCATCCCTTGTTAACCGGAACTTTCTAGAATCTTCTGGAACATCCAAGCATCGTGGCCAGATCAATATAGACGGAAAGAAAAAGGATAATCCGTCCTCATCAAACTTGCTTACAGCATCATGCCCCCAGTAAGAGATAAAAGAACAGTTGCCAATATACGGCGCAGAGATGATATCGGGTCAGCAGCCAGAGGTAAAGGTAGGTAGAAACGTCCCCGCACGGAGGCGCAAACACAGCGTCCCTCGCAGGACCCTCTCCCTCTCCCACCTCCTGCAGAGCCGACCCTGTCGGGCCATGAGACGCATACAAGTACTGGTACCGGAGAAGAATCAGAGTTACCCGGTGAGTCTCAGATCACATTACACGATAATGTACAACATGTGCAAAATAACCCAGTATGTCAGCTCAGTTTTGTTGATACTTTAGGAGCCCATATTCCTAATAAACTAAAAAATAAGATTTGGGAAGGTCAGTTTATCGATTTGTCATCGCTCCTTAAATCAGCTGCAGAATTAGAGTATTTCGATTCGCAGGGCGACCTGCAGATTAGGAATGGCACCTTATATGTTGCTAACCCTAAGAAAAACACTTTTTTACCCATAGAGAAATGGACCTCAGCATTTCTGATTTTTACTAGCATTATGTTAGAAAAGTTTAGTTCTAAAGCTCAGGATTTGTTAAAATATATCAGAGACATTCGGCTGGCAGCAAGTAGGTCCAGTACTTGGTACAAGTATGACGAGCAGTTTCGTCTACGCAAAGCCCTTTCACCTAATACTCCATGGGGGGAAGTTAATTCTGAATACTGGCTTATGTATGTATCAGCTGGAAATACACACACAAGTTATAGTCAGCAAGTTACAAGCATGCAAAATACTCCCTCAAATAAAGTACCATTAGGCAAACAAACTGGGGGTTGCTGTTTTGTTTACAATGCTGGTAAACCCTGTCCTTTTTTCCCCAGATGCAGGTATAACCACATGTGTAGCCAGTGCGGAGGAAAACACCCTCAAGTTAAGTGCTCAAAACAATCGCTCAGTTTACTCACTAGGACAGACACCTGTAAAAACTAGCCCATTGGCAAAACATTTGGAAGGCTATAAACATGCCAAATTTTTACTTCAGGGTTTTACTTTTGGTTTTAGGCTACAATATCAAGGCCAACGGGGGGCAAGAGAATGCAGAAATCTCAGTAGTTTATATGAAAATTTGTCAATAGCTAAAAATAAAATCAGTAAAGAGGTAGCGCTACAACGAGTAGCAGGGCCATTTCCAAACCCGCCTTTTGTTTGTTTACAAGTTTCCCCATTAGGTTTAGTCCCCAAGAAGGACGGTGATATGCGTTTAATTCATCACCTCTCATATCCAGAAGGAAGTTCTATCAATGATTTTATTGACCCTATGGCCTGCTCTGTTAACTATGCAAGCATTGATGAGGCAGCCGATATTATAGCTTCTTTGGGAACTGACACATTATTGGCTAAATCTGACATAAAATCTGCTTTCCGCCTTATCCCCATATCACCAGCTGATTTTGACCTCTTGGGGTTTAAATCTCAAGGTCAATATTATTTCGACAAAATGCTACCCTTTGGGTCTTCCATAAGTTGTTCATTGTGGGAGAAATTTGCATCATTCCTACATTGGCTTACAAAACAACATTCGGGCAATGCTCATATTATTCACTACTTAGATGATTTTCTTTTTTGTGGCCCCAAGTCTTCCGCGGTTTGCGCAAATACATTGCAACATTTTAGAACCCTTTGCTCAGATTTAGGCATACCAATAGCTGAGGACAAGACTGTAGAACCAACCAATGACTACTTAGTTTTCCTAGGCATTAGATTTAACACTTGCAACATGACCATGTCACTACCTACAGATAAGAAAACATCAATACAGTGTTGCAGGCTAAAAAGGTCACACTTAAACAAATGCAGTCACTATTGGGACTTCTAAACTTTGCTTGCAAAGTGGTAGCGCCAGGTCGAGCATTCTGCAGACGCCTCATTAATTCTACCATTGGCATCAAAAAACAACACCACAAAATCAGAATAACACAATATCAAACTTGACCTACTCGTATGGACAACTTTTTTGAAAGACTACAACGGAGTATCAGTTATTAACACCCCACTGGTTGACAGTCACACCGTTCAATTGTTCACAGACAGTGCTAGGGGAGAGCGGGGTGGATTTGGGATATAATTTGGTGGCAGGTGGGCTGGGGGTCAATGGCC